GCCTAGTATGAAGAAGGATATTGCGGAATTTGTGTATTCTTGTTTGACTTGCCAGAAGTCAAAGATTGAGCATCAGAAGCCATCGGGTTTGATGAAGCCGTTGTTTATTCCTGAGTGGAAGTGGGATAGTATCTCCATGGATTTTGTATCGGGTTTGCCGAGGACGCCGAGTAATTTTGAGGCTATTTGGGTTATTGTGGATAGATTGGCTAAATCTGCTCACTTTATCCATATGCGTGTGGATTACCCGTTGGAGAAGTTGGCTAAATTGTATATTGAGAGGATTGTGTGTTTGCATGGTATTCCGTCGAGTATTGTTTCGGATAGAGATTCGAGGTTCACTTCGAGATTTTGGGAGAGCTTGCAGAGTGCTTTGGGTACTAAGTTGCGTTTGAGTTCAGCTTATCATCCTCAGACAGATGGTCAGACGGAGAGGACGATTCAGTCGCTTGAAGATCTTTTGAGAGCTTGTGTATTGGAAAAAGGAGGAGCTTATGATAGCTACTTGCCTTTGATTGAGTTTACCTACAACAACAGTTTTCATTCGAGTATCGGTATGGCACCATTTGAGGCGTTGTATGGTAGGCGGTGTAGGACACCATTGTGTTGGTTTGAGTCCGGAGAGAGTTCTGTTGTTGGACCCGAATTAGTTCAACAGACTACTGATAAGATCAAGATGATTCAAGAGAAGATGAGAGTTGCTCAGAGTCGTCAGAAGATTTATTATGACAAGAGGAGGAAGGCACTTGAATTTCAAGCGGGAGATCATGTGTTTCTTCGAGTCACTCCGATGACAGGTGTTGGTAGGGCATTAAAGTCGCGCAAGTTGTCGCCGTGTTTCATTGGTCCTTATCAGATTTTGCAGAGGATAGGAGAAGTGGCCTATCGTGTGGCTTTACCACCATCGCTTGCTAATCTTCATGACGTATTCCATGTATCTCAGTTGAGGAAATATATTGCGGATCCGTCTCATGTAGTCCAATTAGATGATGTGCAGGTGAGAGATAACCTGACTCTTGAGACATCACCTATGCGGATAGAGGATCGGAAATTGAAGCAACTTCGAGGCAAGGAGATTTCTTTGGTGAAGGTCGCTTGGGGAGGACCGGCTGGTGGAAATGTGACTTGGGAACTAGAGAGCCAAATGAGGGAGTCTTATCCAGAACTGTTTGAACCAGGTAACAATTTCGAGGACGAAAATTCCTAAAGTGGGGGAGGGTTGTAACAGCCCGAATTTCATTAAATAATTAATTATAGTAATTAATTGATTTAGTGGGATTTTTATTAATGTTGGAAAATAATTTTTATTAATTGGAATTAATAGAGAATTGAGAAGGAAATTGGAAGGAAGGAAAATAAAGGAAATATATAATAGAGAAGGAAAAGAAAAGAAAGTTAGAGAGAAACATTTGGAAAGAAAGAAGAAGAGAAAGAGAGGAGAAGAAGAGGAAAGTGGAAAATCATCAAGAACCAACATCAAAGCTCCGATTAATCGAGGTAAGGGTGAGAAATGTTTCTATTTGATCATTGCATGATGTTATATATGTTGGTTTGAGGTTTTGGTGTAGTTTCCATCCTTTTCCATTTAGGGCAAAAGTTGGAATAATCGGTAGAACTCAATTTAATCGGTTAAAATCTGAAATAGATGATGTAGAATAGTCTAGAAATGTTAGACTAAGAGTATTGGAATTGGATTGGTGAGATTGGAGTTTTTGGAGTTGGTTGAGTTGGATAACAGTAAGTGAAAAACAAAATACGCAGACACTCGCTAGCAGCTCGCTAGGCGAGCAGGTCGCGAATGCTCGCTAGGAGCTCGCTCAGCGAACAAGTAGCGAATGGTCTCAGACTTGGACATAATGGATTTTGGTGTGTTCGCTGGTAGCGAAAGTGTAGCGAAGAGATAGCGAACGATTCGCTGGGAAGCTCGCTGTAGCGAGCAGGTAGCGAATGAAGTCAGTAACTTCTGTTGAGATTCGCTAGCACGTTCGCTAGGCGAACAAGTAGCGAATACTCGCTAGGAGTTCGCTTAGCAAAGGAGTAGCGAGTATGACAGGTTGATGTTTTATTTGAGATTTATCCATAGGTTGATTGTGTGGTTCGACTATGGTTTATTGCCTGATTAATCGCATAGTTTATGTACTATTGTGATATGTTGTGGGTAGCCTTCGGGCGTGAATCCTAGGTTTTGAGATTTGTATATTGTTTGTATTGATTGGAAATGCATGAGAACATAATAGAGGTTATGTGTGCATTGTTTGATAAATTGTGAATGCCTAATGTTGTATCCAATTGTGTGATAAGTATGCATGAGAACATTGTGGATATGTGTGCATGACTTGCGAATTACGTTAATGGTATTAATGTGAATACCTTGAATTGTTATGAATATGTTGTGTGTGCAATCATGTTGTAATTCTTGAAGAGATGAATTATTGGAATGCATGAGATTAAGATGTCGGTCTTAAGTGCATTTGATTTTCGATTGCATATGCATCATTTAGTCAAGAGGCAATGCTTGCTAGTTTCGTGGAGACTAGTGACTTGTCCCAAACCTAGAAGAGTGGGTTTGAAGGCTTAGAGGACGGGCCTTTGTTGTTATCGGTCTAGAAGAGTGGATCCGGTTTAATGTAAAAACCGAAAAATGATAACGGGTTATCGGTCTAGAGGAGTGGACCCGGCTTAATGTAAAAACCGAAAAATGATAACGAGAGTCGGTACCGCATTGCATGAGTTGCATTGAGTTGTTGAGTCACATTGATATATGACATATGCATGAAGAGATGCTTATGTGTGAATCATAAGATTGTGAAAATGTGAGTGTATGCATGATGTGGGAATGCTTTGTGAATATTCATGTTGTCTATATATGTGTGGTAAATATATATGACTAAGAGGGTGAATTGTGGTGAGAAATATGGAGTTGAGTTATATGATTACCTATATATATATAATCTTATGCTTTGATTATTATGGTTATATTTCTCACCCTTCTGTTGTTTTATAATGCTCTATGAGGCATTGCAGATTAGGATGCTGGAGTTTTTTTGTAAAGTTATCTTCATTCTTTTGAGTCGGCTGCTCTGATATGTAACACTGGGTAGTTAGACTAGTATAGTTATTCTTTTGTGATACATTGCGATGTATCAGCTGATGTGGTTTTGTAATTACCTGACATGATGTATCAATCTGGATATCTTATCTGTATGTGAATTAATATTTTGGAAATGATTAAATGATTTTATCTTCCGCTTAAATTTAAATGTTGAAATGTGATTTCTAAACCATGAAAATGTTACATATTTTATGGAGCAAATGTTAAAGTGTTTCATTGGTGAAATTGTGACATTCTTCCTTTATACCTTATTCTAAAATTTTCACTCTGATAAATTTGTATATGCATTTATTTGGGGGTATAGAAGGGGGTGTTACACCACAGTCCTAACAGAAAAATATCGAAAAAGTGAGTGATTCAAATCATGTTTAAAATTTGATTCGAATCAAATCAAACAGAAGTGGACATCATGAAAATGATTCGAATCAAGTGTAAAAAACAATTTGAATCAAATGACTTTGTTTTCCCTTTGTCCAATTTGATCAGAATCACAAAATGTGTAAACTCCATGATTCGAATAAAACATGTAAAATCTCAAATTTTCATGATTTTAAAGGCACTTTGAGATTTTACTTTGAATCAAACTCAAGTCAAAAACATAAAATGTTTTCATTCCACTTACTCATGCAATTGATCAAAAACATCATGATCAAGATAAAATCTAACCAAAATTTTATACATGCTAAAAACGAATCTTTTCAAATTTGATTCCGAGAAGTGCAATCATGAAGGAGACTCAACAAATCGAAATTAAATAAAAGATGAAAGCATCAAAATAATTGGATATAAATGCTCCCCCTGAATGAAGTAGGGACATGCAACTACAATTATTAATCCACATAGATTGACCTGTTGGTAAAGTCATGAGACCTGAAAGTATGTTCGAATTACACTAATCGTTAACAATCCTTGTGTTTGGACAATTCATACAAAACTTAACTCTGACTTTAAATGAGTCATGTTATTGGACGATGAGGTTAATAACAACCCTTGTGTTGGGCGGTCCATACAAAGCTTAACTCTGACTTTAAATGGATTCTTACTATTGGATAGTGGGATTGATAACAATCCTTATGTTGAGTCAATCAATACATAGGTTAGCCCGGACTTTAAATAACTCCTCACAAGTGAACGATAAAATTGATATTTGTCCTTGTGTTGTGTCGGTCCATACACAGTTTAGATCTGACTTTAAATTGGCTCCCCACTAGTGGTCGAGTACCGAGTTTTTAAAAAATTAATATTGATTATTTAAAATATTTCACATTTAATAAAATTTTAAAAACTAATACTTGCGAGCTAGACACGACTCAAACTAAACTTTATTTTATATATTTGAAAATTAGTTCATAATAGTGCTATAATTATACAACTCAAATAGATAATTACTCAACCCATCGTAATATTTGACTATACAAGCCATACAATCATCAATTAGAAATATCAGCATCGTAATATTTGACTATACAAGTCATACAATTAGAAATATCAACTAAAATAGTTAAGCGAGAGGGAAAAAAGAATTTGGCTGGGCCTAAGAGGTTGAGCCTGAATTAAACTGACTCAGAATTTGATCAAAGAATGTTACCATACCATGGTAAATGTAACTGTTGAGGTTCGAATGCCACAACTTCACTTGAAAGCATTTTTCAAGGGTAACTACTAAACATACCTTTAAATTGCAGTCTGTCAACTTTTATCCGCAATATAAAGGTTCACAGCATAACCGCAACTGCAGTTTGAAACCATGCATGCTACCGAATGTTCCTATTTACTTCCAACAAACGCATTACTATTTTCTGGCGCAAACAGTATCGTGAAGGTTGTAACAAAATAAGAATATCAATGTAATACAATTAACAAACAAAAAGATCCCTTTGGATTTGAATCATCTCCTTTGAAGAAAACCAGTTTTAGAAAGAAGTCTTGATAGAAATCCCTTCTTACCATTATCAGAATTCTTTTCTTTGGCATTGCTTAAGTTGCTTATCAGAGACCAATGTATGTCAAACTCAGGCTGGTAGCCCTTTTCCTGCATGGCTTGCACAAGCTCCGACGCCTTCTTAATATTCTTTTCCGCGTGATAATTTTTAATCACGGCGCAATACATTTTTCTCGTTGGCGTTTCGCCTCCGCGAATCATGTCCACTAAGAACTGTTCTGCTTGTTCTGTCCTCCCATGTTCGCAGAAGCTAAACACGAGCGTTTCCACTGTGTCGATTCTTGGTTTGAGATTCCAGTTTTGCATTTCAGAATAAAAACATGAAGCCGTGTCTAATTCATTCTGTGCACAGAATCCATGAATGAGAAAATCATAGCTGGTGGAAATCGGAATGTTGGATTTCTTTAGCATTATGTTCAGAAGATGAACTGCGGTTTTCAATCTTCCGTGCTGGCAGAAACGCTTAATCAAGTAATCGTAATTGATATTGTCGGGAGTTAGAGATTCATCTTCCATTCTGTCCAAAAAACTTTCCGCTTCTTTTACCAAACCATGAGAAAGAAGGCTTTCCACAATTCTTGTTTGGATGACAGAATCGTGTATCCATCCTCTTAATCCCATTTCTCGACTCAATTCCACAGCTTTTTGCAGCTCTCCGATATCGCACAGACTGCTTATTACCTTCCTTAAGCTGCGGCTACTCGGTTTGAGTCCCGTCGAAATCATGGTAGTCAGATAATGCAAAGAACCGGATAAATCTTTACATTGCAAAAAACCATAAACAAGATAATTTTGACCAACTTCATCGAGTATAACCTTCTTCTCTTCCATTTCAGTTAGTATCTTACTAACAACCAAACAGTTTCCACTAGACAAAAGATAGAAAATAAGAATATTATACACGATAACGTCATCAAATGAACATCGTGCAAGCATAAAATTCTTTAAGCTCAGCGCAAACAGGACTCTGCCCTTCATACACATCGACCACACCAAATTTCTGTAACTTGAGAGAGACAGCTCCCAGCTCTTTCTTATCGCAACACCGAGTAGCTCTCCCACTACTCTCAAGTCATTAGTTTTACAGTGGCCCTGAATGAGCATGTTACAAAGCTCATCATCTAAAACAAGTCCTTTAGATAATAAATCTCGGAACAGAGAGTCCACTTTCTCAATGTTACCTGAATAACAAAATCCGCATATCAATGCCCAATCAGCAGAATGAGAAATCGAAGGCTGTTCTTTCAGAATGATATCTTTTAATGCAATAGCTTTGTCATATTTACAAACCTTGCACAGTTGCGGGATTAACGAGAGTGAAACATCCAAACAAGGTGCAAAATTTCTCTGTAGCATATCATCCAATATCGTAAAAGCTAGCGAAAACTTGCCCTCGTTGCATAAGCCCCTCATAAGATTATTATAACCAGTGCGATCGAAGAATGAATAAAATTGTCGTTGTTTTAAAATTGCAAGTGCAGTATCTGTAAGACGCTTAGATGAAAGTACTTCGAGAAATATATGATATATATCTAACCTTTGGAGAGGGGACGCTAAAAGCATGATTTCGAGAAACTGTAATGCTTCTGGAAGCATTTTCTGATGGCAGATATGACCAAGAAGATGTTTAAACTCCTCCAACTTCGGTAACCATTTATTTCTACAAGCAATTTTCAAGTAATAACTGAAGTCCTTCATGTTTCCTTTTTTACATAAAGGTACAAGTAAGGAGGTATACGTCAGATTCTCGATATAAAATTTGTTTTGATGCATTTCATCGAGTATAGTTTTTGCTTGGAAAAGTAAACCCTTCTTGCTGTATGCCTGTACAACCATGTTGAGGGTTTCGTGGTCGAGTTTGCGGGCAGACCGTGGCATTTTTTCCAAAAGTTTGATTACTGATGTGATTTGTGAGCGAGATGAACAAAGTTGTCTCACTAATTTAGAGTATTCAGGCAAAAGCAATTCTTGGCCCCAACAAAGCATCTCTTCGACCAAAACCAATGCATTTTTTAGGTTATTGCTGTTGCATTCCTTCATAACAGATGAATTGAAGTTTGGTAACACGGATTCTTCAAGAATCGAAGCAACATGATTCTCAAATTCATCAACATCTGTGTCTAAATAAAGTCCATTCCCCATTTCATCGAAGAACTCTGCTTTGAAAAGTTTCTTGCTATTGTCTCGTTTCAACCTCACATTCAAAGGGTTCAAGCCCAAAATCTGAAACGCCTTGGAAAGTGGACTCTCCGTCAAAGAAAGGTTAACCAAACCACGGCTGTCCATGTCACAAACCAAACTTTTCACTTTATCAAACCGTCTTGACTTACAATACCCTGCTATAAGAACCTTAAAAGTCGAAATATCAGGAATCATTCCCCTATCAATCATCTCATCAAGAATATCCTTAGCATTCTCTAACGCACCTACTTTAAACAATCCACTTATAAGAGCATTATAAGTACATAAACGCGGCACAAAGCTTTTTGAAAGCATAACCGATAAATAACTCAAAGCATTCTTCATTTTCCCTTCATAACAACTCCAACCAATTAACATCCCATAGGTTACTTCATTAGGACGAAAACCTACACTTTCGAGTTCATTCAAAAACAAACTCGCTCTTTCTACATCATAGCTTTCACACATAGAATTCATAACTCTATTACCCGCTATTACACTAGGAACACAATTTACTTCAACAAAGAAACTAATCAAATCTTTAAAGTCCTTCTTCTCACAATACCCGAACGCAATTTCATCAAAAACCAAGCTACTAACCTCGTAATTTTCCAAACGCAACACCTTCCGAATCAAGCTTCTCGCTTCTTGAATCTTCCCGTCAACGCAAAGCAAAACCATAACATCCTCTACATTTTTCATCTCATCACAACACAACGATTCACCCAATTCCACCAAATCAAACGCCACATGAAAAGCAGTCTGTGTTCTCTTCATCTTCACCAAGTAATCAAGCAGAACCCGATAACACATCCTCGAAGGAACCATTTTTCGTTCCTTCATTCCCTCATACACAAAAACCGCTTTTTCCAATTCCTTCTCACGAACATAACCTTCAATTAGTTTATCGAAAATCCCACTACGGATTTCCCCTAAAAAAACTCCTTTACCCTCTAATGAAGTAATCAAATTCTCAGCTTCTGTGAACAACCCAGCATGAACAAGAAGCAATGACATAACCTCATAAGATTGTGAAAAATGGGTGTTGTTTTTCTCAACACCCCATTTGAAAATTTTATACAAAGATCGAACCTTTTCAACACGAATACCAATGTTAGTACACTCGGATTGAAAACCGAGTATGATTTGGAGGACGTGTTGGGGTTTCAAAATTGGAACCCTCCAAAATTGGCGCGTGATATCGGGGATAACGGTGGAAAGTTCAAGAAGGTGGGGTTTGAAAGAAGGGTTAAGGTGTGAGTTGTTTGAAAGGAGATGAGTGGTTGTTGTTTTGGTGGTGAGGTGGTGTAGAGAAGAGAGGAGGTTTGGGTAGTAGCGGCGGAAAGTGGTGAGAGAGTGGAGCATTCGATGGCATGGGAAAATTCTGTGGAATTGTTGGAGTGGCTAAGATGTCACTAGCGGTGGTGGTGTTGGCGGTATTAACGGCGGCGACGATGTCGGAGATGCAGTGTGTTTTACGGCGCACAAGGCACCGCCAAATAAGGTCAATTTTCAAAAATTCACACATAATTATCATTTTTCAATTTAAATATAAAATGTTAGTCCGTTAGTTTTCACAATTTATGAACGCCGAAGTTAATTGAGAAAAAAAGATAAAAAGGATATTGGAGTGGATGAGAAGAAGAGAAAGAGATCAATATTAAATGAGAAGAGATGATTGTTATTGATTTGTTGTTACAAACTACACAAATAATTATTATAATATACAGTGCGGTAATTAATTACTTTTTTTTTAAAAATTATAAATTATTTTGTTAAAAAAATTTGTCTTACAAATTATAAGTCATTTTATAATTTCAATGTAACATTAATGATTTTTTTTCGAATATACTTTTTATCATTTATTATTCATACTATTTATTCTTTTAATTCTTTAAATTTCTCTTTTATCTATAATAAACAAATGACAATATTGTCAAGTCATGCATAATTTATCTTTCTCATACAACAATAATTATGTTTCTTAATTTACGTGAAAGTTGCAAAACGTCTTAAAATTTGGGACGGAGAGAGTAACTAACTAACTAACTAACTAAGCTTGAATTAACACACAACATGTTCCCTTAATTTAAAGTTTCACCAAGTGATACACATCAGAAGCTGATACTTCAGACTCTGTGTCTTCAGGCTTCAGCCACTCTTTAGAAACTGCTTTATAGGCTAAAGGTTCAGAAGTAGATCCCCACCTCTGACTCCTTTAGAGGTTGGTTGTTTAAGAGCTATCGAAGCTTCAGAGGTCAGACTACTTCATCCTCTGACTCCTTTAGAGGTTGCCGCTTCAGAAGCCATCAAGACTTTGGAGGCTAGTAATCCAGAAGTCGTTCCAACCTTTGAATCAAATCCCATCATTCTCATGTTTATCTTCAGCTTAGAAAATTGTTCTCCTTTTACAACTTTGGTCATGATATCAGCAATCTGATCCTTGGTAGGACAACATCTCATTGTCAACCTTCCTTTGTTCACTTGCTCCCTTATGTAATGAAACATTGTTTCAATATGCTTGAATCTTCCATGGGAGTCTGGATTGTTTGCTAAGCTTATTGTTGATTTGCTGTCAACAAGGAGTTTGATTGGTACTTGAATGTTTACTCTAAGTTCAGTCAATAGAGCTTCAATCCCAGCGCTTGACAAGCAACTGAACAACTAGAAATATATTATACACCACAGCTAGACAGAGCCACAACAGGTTGCTTCTTGGAGATCCAAGAGATTGGAGCTCCTTGAAACTTGAATACATAACCCGTGGTACTTGTCATGTCCAATGTGTCACCACACTAGTCGAAATCAGAAAATCCTATCGCCTATTTTTTGCTTCCTTTTCTTTCATATGGAAAGAATACACCATGCCTTAAGTTTCCCTTGATGTATCTTAGTACTCTTTTTCCAACCAACAAATGAGACTTCCTCGGGTCATGTATGAATCTACTCAATACTCCTACAATAAAGTTGATATTTAGTCAACTATTGCATAGGTACCTCAATGATCCAATCATCTGCTTGTAAAGGATGGCATCTACCATTTCTTCACCATTATCTTCTTCTAGTTTATGACATGATTCAATAGGAGCCACAACAACATTGTAGTTCAGCATGTTGAATCTTTTCAATAAGTTAAGAACATACTTTGCTTGATGCAAGATTATTTCACCTTCTTTGTATATAAACTCCATACCAAGGAAGTAGGACAATTTACCTATATCTGACATTTCAAATTCTAACTTCATTGTACTCTTTAGGTTTTCAATTTTTAGTTGAGATTCTCCAATCATTAGGAGGTCATCCACATACAAACATGTCAGCAATAGTATTTCACTTTGCTTGTATTTTGCATACACACCATACTCAACTAGATATTTTTTTAAACCATGTATGATCAAGAAAACACCTATTCTCTGATTCTGAGCTCTTGGTGTCTGCTTCAAATTATACAAAGTATTGTATAGTCTATACATCATATTCTCTGTTTCCTTTACTTCAAAGCGTGAAGGTTGAGACACATATACTTCTTTATCAAGTGGACCATTTAGAAAGGCAGATTTTACATCCATGTATGACAAAGTCCACCTTCTACTGCAAGCTAATGCCACTACAAGTTTTATAGTCTCATTCCTTGCCACTGGTGTAAATACCTCAGAGTAATCCATACGTTGTCTCTAAAGGAAACCTCTTGCCACAAGTCTTGCTTTGTGTTTCACTATTGTTTCTTCTAGACTCGGCTTAACTTTGAAAATCCACTTCACATCAATTAACTTCTTTCTTTCTGGTAGTTGATTCAGTTTCCATGTGACACATTTTCAATTGAACTAAGTTTCTCCTTCATTGCATCTTTCCACTCTTTGTCTTGCATTGCATCCCGATAATTCAGTGGTTCTACACTTGCTAACATTGGCATATGTATTATTTCTCCTTCCTCATCCATTGTATTTTCAGGCATAATTTCACAATCATCCAACCTTGCAAGTATCTATCTATTTATGGTTGGTCTTTCCCTTTGAGTAGGATTCATAGTCTCAATTAATGTCTCAGTTAAGACTGGATTCACTTCATCAGGAATTGATATTTTATTATCCATGTTTCCCATGTTTTCCTTTTCTTTCTTTTTCCTAATAATTTCTCTTTCTCTCCCATTTCTTTATTATCCACACAATTGATATTTTGTATTCTAGTAACAATTGACCAATTATTAATGTTACCGAAAATGTCCCCTCTCATACTTATTAAGATTGGTCTGTCTATTTTATTAATAATTAATCTCTTCAGAGTTTACTAGTTACTATATTGGTCATAACTGATAACATTTAGAGCACTTAGGATTTCTAATTATTCTAATTGACAAAAGATAGAATACATGGAAACTAAGTTGATCTCAACTAACACCCAATTGAGCATTTAAGAAAATATGGGATATTACATTCTCCCCCCTTAAATGGAAGTTCATCCCCGAATTTCCTCCATTCAACGAATAATCACTTCTTGAATCACCGTCCAAGTCAACACTTGGCTTTGCTTCAGTTTAATCTTTTGACCTACTCAACCTTCCAACGTGTCTTCACTGGAAAATTTACTTCTTTGCACTAAGTTACACGAAACATAACCACAACACCTTATCTCGATTTAGAAATTCAACACCCATCAAGTCTTCATGAGATAATTTACTTATTTTTTGACTACACGCACATTGACGACTCTTCTCTTATAAATCCTTCAACAATTGAGACAACTTTCTAATCCATATATTGATATCCTTATCAACTTCACTTGAACTGATATCATATACTGCAAGCGTCTACATATGATGCTTCACTTCTTACGTGCTACACCAATAACATAACACACTTGGCACTAGATCGTCTTACTTCCATTCTTACAAGTAATTATCTCTCTGATTCCCATAAACTTGATTGAGCTCTTCCATCCACCGTCTTCCACTGACCTACTCTGATTCCATCAATGGAACACCTGGAATTCCTAGGCACTACTGGTTAGTTAACAATCTACATAGAAAACATACTTCTCCTCCAAAGTGCCCACTACCTAAAACGTTACTAGAACCTTACCGACTTCCATTAGTAGAATAACTTTCTAGTTGATGCCTAAAGGCTTAGAATAGGACCAACATTCTCTAGGAGATAAGTATGCAGGAGTCATACGACTACGGCCATAAAAGCGTACAACATTTTGATTTTTCCCTATTTCGAAGCAACTTATCCAAATTAGTTTGACTATATCTGGTTCTTGTTACCATATTCCATATAAAATCCTCTTATTTCTACTGACGCGAGATCTTAACCAATAACTGAATAACACCATCAAGGAAATTTATATTATCAACGAGAACCACTTCTACAGAACATAAGCAATGATAACATAATTATGAGTGCCCATACTACTCACAAAGTCACACACAACATTTCACACACATCTTGAAATAACATTGCACTTCCTATCTAAATTCATTCATCTCAATCGTCCTGCTCCATCTTCCATAATATAAGCTCATACTCTTACTAATATACAATATGTGCTACATGTTTAACTTCGGGAATATCTAATCCTCGTTACTTCTTGGAAGCACAACTCACAAATATTTTCAATTGGATAAAGTATAACTACACATATTCAGTACCACTCTCATGAAGTTTGTATCTGAGGCCATGAATCCGAAAGAATTAACTAATGCCATATTTTGGCTTGTCTTCCGTTGTTTACCACATACTCAACTTCTTAGAACACAATAGTCGTTACTCAACAAAGAGTGCGTTACTTCACATATATCTCAAGACAAGGAATCCATTATGTACACTTGTGACCATGATGCTACTATCACATGCTTCTCTTAATACCAAAGTATAACTTCCTTCACCCCACTCCACTTCACGCTTTAAAAGTCTACATAAGTGAACAACCACTAATGACACACCCTTATCTTAGTCTTAAAAAAATCTTAATGACTTCATTGTACATTCGTCCTAAATGCATCTCGTTATCATTTTCATGTTATAATATCTACACCATTATCCACTATGCAGTTGCTTTTCTCCCATGGTATTTCTCTAAATTCCCATTTATAACACCATCCTACTAGAGTTTCTATAATCTAAATTACTTGCTCTATCTCTCAACACTAACCTCTTTCACCCATATTGTTAGAACTTCTGTTACTATAAAATGCTCATTCTCTCTTCGACACAATCTCTTATAACTTACCCTTTGGTAATTCAACATTTCCAAGTTGGTATTTTACTAATACTAAACCTCTGGTGAAGTATTATAAACCCGACCTTTGTTCTAGGACTGAATTTACTTGATTTATCTTTCACTTTTCATTTGGTGCATACATGTTC